GCCGCCTGCCGTCCGCCCTGGCGCTCGGTCCTGCGGGGAGCGGGGAGGCGCCGTCGAGGCACCGGCCTGCTGGTGACTGCGAGGTCGGCCCTCGCTGGGATGGTGCGTTCCCTGAGGGTAGGCAGCGGCTCTCAGCATTGTGTCCCCGGTAGGCTCGGAACACACGTCTGTGGGCTGAGCAAATGAATGAATGGCATTAGTTAGTTAATTCCATACTAGAACAGGAAAAAATTAAAACCTCACCCACAAAGAAACAAATGCAGCGACCTCCAATGCCAGAGTGCGTGTCATGATCCACAGCGTGGCCTGCGGTGTGTGCGTCAAGCCTACACCCTTTCCTGAGGGGCGCAGATACCGTTACAATGGGCTTGCTTTCCTAAATGAAATGAGGGGGTGTTTGATCACTGCTTCATGCACAACCATCTCCAGTGGCAGACACCGAGAGAGGGAGTGGTGCTCTTCAGTTCTTGCAAAATAATTTACTGATTTTTAGATTAATCCAAAGTTGTCATGGAAAAAGGGCCCTTAGAGCCCTTCACTTAGAGAATGCTATTAAGAGTGATTTTTAATTTGCGTTGTAAACCTAAAGGTCTGTGGGAAATATTTGGTTATTGCTGCAGTGCTTCAAGCATGTTTTAATAGTTTAGACGTTTTATACAGCAATGGCTGCACACCTACTATGTGCCTGGTGCCAGACTAGACACACATCTTGTCTGACTCGCTGTCCACTCTACACTTTGTTCACTTTCTTCATACACACTTTCTTTATAAATAAATGCACAGGTAAGCAATCTTAATCATAAAGATTACAAATATTGAACTAGCTGAATGGAAACTAGGGTCATTTTGTTAAAGTTTTTGTTTTTTGTGTTTTGTCCCGGCCTAAAGTATAAAAATCTTAAAGCAGTCCAACATATAGCTTACTTTTTGTCCTCCTGTCTTATGCAAGAGCAGGAAAAAAAATCTTAAAAAAAAAGATAAATGGGACCAAAGAAAATTTATTATCAACCACGTTCTAGAGAAATGGCTGAACCGTTTCCTTTGCACATGAGGAAGTTCAAAGTCAAGATTTCTTGAAAAGGTGCTGTGACTAATTAATAGTTTACTTGAGTGCTGCTATTTGAAGTCTCAAACACATAGGGAGACTGTGAAAGGGGCAAATAATCACCTTAGAATAAATCCCTTTCATTCAGAGTAAGTCTCGTTTTCTTGCTTCTTTGCCCTTCACAGTATCTGAGTTCACAGAGTGAAACTGGGGACTGGGACAAGGAAGGAGCAGGTGGGAAGCGGATAGCAACGAATCCCCCATTACATCTTCTATGTTATGAGCCATGTGCATGTATTACCGATTCAAATAAATAAATAAATACGCATTACAAATATTCAACCATTGAGACTTGGTCATCTCTCAGGTGTATAGTGTTGAAATGTAATTCCTACACTTAGGGGGAACAGAAGAGGAATGTAAGAAGAGGGGACCCAGAGAGTTTAAGAAATTTGCCCAGGAGCAGCGAAGAGCCAGGAGTTGGAAGTGATGGTAGAACAAACCTGACTGTCCACTCCTCCAAACTACCTCTCATTTACTACTACACAGAGAGTGAAGGGAAGAAGACACCCCTTGCTCCCGAAAAGTACATACTTTTAAAGCTAGGAAGAACCCCTCCCTGAAAATGCTCCTTGGAACTGAAATAATCGTAAGTAGAATGTAGGCTTGGGGCATAATTTTCTTTAAATACAGGTTTTCCAAAAAAAAAAAGGATGTTAAGTTTTACTAATTTCGTCAATAATGTATTGTTATTAAATAGCAATAATAATATATCTGTAGATGCCAAATAACAAATGACCTTCATATGGCAAATATTTCCAAGCTCTGTCCAGTGGCCCATTTATTTCAAGCAGCATCTCATAAATCAGAATTTCCATACAACAAAAGATTCGACACATTTTAAAAAAGGAAATTTAACAGGACATTATCAGTATCTTTTTCTTTTTTTCACAAAGCTTTATAGTTACCATCTCTGTTCTGTTTGAAGGAGGCATAGGAAGAATGGGTGATTCTGAAACCCCACAGAGGGGCGGTGCTCCCATCTTCAGCATACATTTCTGTGATGTTTGCATCATTCAGTCTTCATAGCAATGCTATCAGGAGGGGAAAGAGTCTGGGCTTTTTGTAGATGGTCATCTGTGGTATCAGTCTCCGTTCTGCCAGTTCCTAGCCTTGTGACCATAAACATTAGCTCTACTTACCCAGCCTCAGTTTCTCAGATGTTAAGTCAGAGTTCCTACCAGCCTTGTAAGCCCATGGAGAGGTCCTTTGATTTCCACACTCCCAGGCTCCTCTGGACACCAAGATTGGAAAAATGCTCTCAGTAAGGGTGTCCGAGGTTTAACCTCCTTGTTCTGTGTCCTGATTCACTTTGGTCAACTTTGCGTAAGTGAACTTTGTTACAGCAGTTTGCAGGGACTTGGATTTTTTTTTTCCTAATCAAAAGTCAGGAAGAAAATGAATCAACGATCTGTTTTCATTTTTAGATATTCTGTGGATTTATTTGGGGGAAAGTTAAATGGATAACTAACTTGTTTCAGAACTTAGTTTACCCATCTTTAAAACAAGAAATGCTTCCTGTGTATCAAATACCATGAGCTGTTGCTGAAGAGTAGCTGAGAGAGAGATACTGAAAGTAAAATCAATGTTTAATACACACAGTAAAAAGAAAAAAATCACAGGATGGGATTAGGCACGAGGCTCCTCTGTAAATAAGAGATTTTTTCTATAAGAAGGTGGTGCTTTACTTTTAATATATTTTTATTGTAAATTATGTTAGATATAGTTTGATAAAGAAAATAAGAAATCCTAGTAAAACAACATTTCAGTATTGTTGCCCTGCTTCTTAAAAAGAAACAAAATGACT